ATGTTAAGAAATATATGTATCAAATTATAGACGATAAGTTCAATAAATAAAAAAAATGCGAATTACAATTATAAACATCATAAAATGATTTGTTCATATAGTATTTACGTTTAATCATAATAAATAGCACATCTGTAATTTATTGTTCTCATCATTTAATTCAGATCATTGCCTGCTTTACTATAATTTTCAATTTAATATATTATTGTATAACATAATTTTTGCAAAATCTACTTATTTATAGATTTGAAGAAGAAAATTTACATTTACTCATTCCATTGCAACTATATATATAATTATAGTTTTGAAAAAGATCACGTCAGATTTGTAACTTGTCACAATATTGATGCGTCTTCGAACTTTTTATAGAACAAAAATTGAAAACACTATTATTTCGTTGTTTTCATCACAATGTAAGGATTCCTCTATCTATTGATCCACTTGTCTACATCTCTCTGTACTTCATTGAAGTGGAAGTGACAACCCAGTGTGACGCACCATCTTGAACGCCAGTAAGATCAATCGATCCAACTACCACAACTTTCTCATCGTCTCTAACTCAACCAACTTCGCAATTTATTTCCAAAGTTCCTTTCATTCTCATTTACGATTACGACGATTAGTATTATTGGTTCACTAAATGATAATAAATAACAATTTAGATCAAGATAGATGAAATGAATTACATTTTTAAAAATATAATATAGATAAAAACTAAAAAGAGAATTTAAATAAATTTTAAGTAGAGAATTATTTCACTGATACACGCGTTCTCAAGGAAATTCGCAGGATATTAAATTCTCACAGGTCACAGGTCAGTCAGGAATTCCTGTATCTGAGTCTTTGTTACGAGAGCTACAATTGATTTGCCATCAGAAGTTAAACGGTTCCTGTTCAACAGGGTCGACACACTTTGAGAAAGCTGAAACCAAGACGGAAGTCCCTTCGCATATATTATGTTCTCAAAATAGAACAATGACGAGGTCGAGCTTTTCCCCGAGATTGGATTATAAATAATTTGTTAGAAATTTCTTTTTATTTAGTATACGATTTACATATATGATATACAATTTTTAAGTTACACATTCATAAATTAATAAGAATGCATGAATTTTTTATTATTATATAATTCCGATCTGCCATTATCCTGCTATTAATTGTAAAATTTTTATGCTATATAGAATTATAAAAGATTTATAATAGCTTAAGTTCAAACAAGAATTTATTTTTGATATAACTGCGATATTTAAAAAATCAATCTATACTATTTTATTTCTAGTCTGCAATATCGTGATTTTGAGAATTCAATATCCGATAAGATAAAATATTTATTCTATCCGAAAAAAGATAAAGCTTTCAGTCATGTTATATAGGATATAACTATAGTAACATATAGATATTTAAAACGCGCTTTTATTTTTATTTAAATGCGCGCTGTTATTCTACAGTATAGGTATGTAACATAGTCTATATACTAAATGCGCGCTAACTTTGTTATAAGCTTTGAATACGAGTCAGTATTATATTTATTATTTTCTGTTTTTGGGATTAGTTCGGAATCAACAAATCAGATAACTGAGAATCAATAATTTTAATTCTTTTAAGTATTGTAGCTAAAAACAAGAAAGAACACAATATTTATCTAATAAATAAATAAATAATAAGAAACAACAATAAAAATAAACAATAATAAAATTAGCTCATTATTGATAAACTAACATTTTACAGACACAAATTTTCACAAAAAATGCTTTCTCTTTTTAATTTAACATACAACAAAATTTTTTTGCTATCCGAAAAGTTATATAATTGTATATGCTGAGCACGTTTCGCGTGTTCTTCAAAGAAAAATAAATTAAATATCTCGGATTTTTCATCAAGCTCGTTATCAAAGCAAACCAAAAAGAATCAATCTTTCTGATCACGTGCCAATGTTTCTTTCTGCCATAGTGACTTTAATGACATATATTGTGCTACCTGTTCCTGCATCGAATGATTAATGAAGAAATGTTTGAAAATTGGCTTTTGAAACATGTCGATTTGCGAGAAAAACTAATAAAACCTGTTCTGTCACGTATATATTGTATGTCAAAATATTATCTTTATCTTACATGAGGAAGGCTTAATATAGCCGAAACATTTATTTTATTTGATTTATTTCACTATGAAATGAGAATAAATAATATAATTATAATTCTCTCTCTCTCTCTCTCTCTCTCTCTCTCTCTCTCTCTCTCTCTCTAACCTACTCATAATTTGATCACTTACTTCCTTCATTTGCGATTTGTAATTAAAGTGCAGTATCAGTTTGGTCAAAGTATTATTCTTTGTTTAATTTAAAGCAAATTTTATTCATAGCAAGTCCTTAGAGAACAAGAGAGAGGTTGTTCTTCAGTTAGGACACAGAACATTACACTGTGTTCAATTGTGTAAGATACTTGTTGGAACGTTTATTTTCATAGTGTAACATTAGAATACACAATAACACTAACCTTCTATTCTTATTCATTATAATTATATTTAGCATTCGAGTATCGATAATAGATTTATAATTTTCGTGTAGATTTATAATTTTTATGTAGACTTAAGTTATAATTTTTTCCGAATTGGCGATTTTTGTCGGTTTTATTCCAAAATAAGTATAGCTACCAAATAAGTTTTTGAAAAGTTGTTAACATTGACATATTTTATACGGGCTCGTACCTTTTTACAGTGTCGAGCAGTCTAACACTATGTTACAGTTGGAACATCTTGTGTAAGACTGTTACACTGTACGTTGTTGGAAAATATCCGTGAAAAGAGGGGGGG